AAATGCAAAAAGTATGTGATGGTGATCAAATACCACCTTAAACATAATGATGACTAGAACAGTTTCTTAATAAAATTGAAGAGTGCGTACATCAGCTAGCATGCTTATAATTTTTATAGTGTGTTGTATGAAATATTGGTAACCTATTTGCTTTGAACCCTTTTTAGTGTATGTAAACCACTTTAATGCATGTAAATTATCTTTACCTGGTGCTCAACAACACATCAGAAACAACTGCTACTCATGTAAAATGTGTCACTTTCTGGAAATTAATGAGATTAAAAGATCAATGCTGAAGTGTTATTACTTAAAAAAAACATTTGGGGTTCTATATTTTCCACTGATCATCAAAGAGCAAACTAAGCTACCTGGATCTTCCAGCAACAATAACTGTCAGTTATTACATAAAGCAGCAGCAAGCAACATATGGGTGAATATAGTTGAGCGTTGAAGGGAAAAGCAAACAATTAGTATCTGTAACACTACTGTACACTTTCATTGTAGAATTCTCTATATAGATGTATTTTTCTAAAAGTGGACTGCCCCTTATTTATTTTACATACAAACAAGAATTCCCCTATATTCCACCTGTCACACCGACTTATCCTACACACACACACACACACACACACACACACACACACACACACAAATGGTATTAAATAACTTCAAAGTTATCTACAAGCTAAAAAAGTTTTTAGAAACATTATTATTATGTCATGGTCCCAGGAGTAAAATCATATGACACTATCCTTTTCATTACTTTTAAAAGTATACACATATTTTTAAAATATATCTAAACTGAGAATGAAAAAGAAAAATGAATAGATTTAGTCTCCTAACCTAAAATCTTCAAATCAATCTTATATGTTTACCTTAAATATATTATCTGGATCTATTGTTATGTGACTTTTGTTACCTTTCATTACATTTGGGACTTAGGGAGAAAAATGCATATGATTTTGATAAAATTGAAGCTAGCTAATGCAATTACCAATCTAGTGGTTTTGAAAACACTAGTTGCATACAAATCACTGAGTTAATGTGTTAATAATGTAGATTCCTGTGCTCCAACTATCAAATATTCTTATTGTGTAGGTCTAAGATGCTGAGGAATATAATCCCTTGACCAAAATTTCAGGGGGAAAAAGGGAAAACAAGAAGCACTGATTATTTTCCAGTCATGAACATACAACTGAACTACAGAAAACCATCATTGAGAATCACTCGATATCTAGCTGAACAGAAGCCCGACAAGTAAGGACTTACAGAAGAAGCCACCTTGAGGCTGGTAGGAAGGGCAGAGACACTGGTCCCACATGCACATATTACCATTAAAAATCAGGAGGGATATATCAGCTGAGGAGGTCCCCCTGAGGAGCGAGGTGTCTTAGCCCTGCACCAGGCTCTCCAGCCCAGGGGTCCAGTGCCAGGGAGAGAAGTTCCCATAACTTCTAGATGTGAAAACCAGCAGAGATTGTGGCTGAGTGAGACTAGGGCTACTGGAGTCACAGGCGCTCCTCTTAAAGGGCCCATGAACAGACTTACTCGCTGACAGACTCACTTGCTCTGAGCTCCATTGCTGAAGCAGCAGCTTGAAAGGTGCCAGGGACAAACATGCAGGAACTGAGTTGTCTGGCTTCTGGGTGAGGGCTGGAGGGACAGCTTTCTCCTTGATGGAGAAACTGGCAGAAGTCATTGCTTCTCTCTTGAGCTCTCCCCACTCCTGGCATGCACATGCAGAACCATATCTGCATCTCTGTCAGCCTGACTAAAACCATTCCTTCACTATGTCCTGGTGATTCTGAGACCCAACCCAACTCAACTTTTAGACACATGGAAACCATTTCCAGTGGCATTTTCATATAAACAGCCTGCCTTGGTTCATGCTGCAGATTTTCCTAAAATCTCTCAAAGGTTCACAAATCCCAAACAAGCAGCATTTGACTTCAGCATGGCCCGTACCTCTGGCTGAGCAGCCCTAATCCCAGCACTTGTGGCAGCCAGCCTCGCTTCATGGCTTGGCCTCTTGAGGTACCTCCAAGTTTAGTGCAGATAGCAACCTTTTGCAGATTGCTTCCTGGCTCATTCCATGTGGCCCAGAGCAGGGTACAGGCTGCAGCTACACTTGGCCTGCACTGGATACCCTCCCAGGGGACCCCAGAGTTTGCATGCTGAGTGGTCTACTTCCATCCGAGCCAGAGCATCACACAACCACCTCCAAGGACAACACACCCAAAAGAAAGACTGGGTAGGCACCAGAGTGAATGGTGCTCTGTAAGGTCAGCCCTTGTACAACAGCTCCTCCAGTGTAGTCACGCCCAGTCCTCACAACAAATCAGCCTGAGGATCAATCCCTCCCATTGATGTGTAAACTACAACGGAGGCTCAATCACAACAGAAGGGCACACACAACCCACCAGGGAGACTGCACCACTGGATCCCACAGGACACTTACTAAATAAAGCCACTCTACTAAGATCAGGAGACAATAGCAGCGCTACCTAGTACACAGAAACAAACAGAGAGAGGCAGCCAAGTGAAACGATAAAGAAACGTGTCCCAGGGCTGGCCGAGTGGAAAATTGATTAAGAGTTGGCTTGGGACGCCAGCTCTAAGCAGCAGGGCCCCGGTTCAAATCCCACATGAGGGCCATTGACGCTGCACCCTCTATAGCTAAAATGGTGAATAACAGTTTGACCTGGAGCTGGGCTGCTGTGAGTCACCAGCGATGGCGAAGGCTGCAGTGGGGCTGGCCGGCAGCTGGCGTGAGCTTTTGTGAGCTGCCGTCCAATGGCTGGCGAGTGACTGCCTCACTCAGGAAGAGCGGAATGATAATACCAACATGGGCCAGTGAAGCAACGTCCTCCACAACTAGACTGAAGAACAACAACAACAAAAAAATGACAGCAACTTGTCTGTTGCCCTCCCCCAATTTCCCAATAAAATCTTTTAAAAAGAAAAGAAAAAAAAAAAAAAAAGAAACGTGTCCCAAATAAAAGAACAGAACACTCCAGAAAAAGAACTAAGTGAAATGGAGGCAAGCAACTTATCAGATGCTGAGATCAAAACAATGGTTATACGGATGCTCAGTGATCTCAGGGGGAAATTCAACAAAGCGATAGGCAATACAAAAATGAAGATAGAAAACATAAAAAAGCACCAGTCAGAAATGAAGATTACAAGAGCTGAAATGAAGAAGACATTAGAGGGAATCAATAGTAGATTAGATGAAGCAGAGGATTTAATCAGTGATTTAGAAGACAAGGTAGCAGAAAACACACAATCAGAACAGCAAGAAGAAAAAAGAATCCAAAAAAAAAAATGAGGACAGTTTAACAGGTCTCTGGAAAAACATCTAGCATACCAAAAATTGCATCATAAGGGTACCAGAAGGAAAAAAGAGGAAGCCTGTATTTGAAAACCTATTTGAAGAAATAATGATGAAAAACTTCCCTAACCTGAGAAAGGAAATGGATATTGAAGCCCAGGAAGCTCAGAGAGTACCAAACAAGATGAGCCCAAAGAGGCCCACCCAAGACACATCATAATTAAAATGCCAAAGGTTAAAGACAAAGAGGGAATCTTAAAAACAGCAAGAGAAAAGCATTTAGTTACCTACAAGGGAGCTCCCTTAAGACTGTCAGCTGATTTCTCAACAGAATCTTTGCAGGCCAGAAGGGAGTGGCAGGAAATTTTCAAAGTGATCAAACACAAGGGCCTACAATCAAGATTATTCTACTCAGCAAGGCTATCTAACATTTAGAATGGAAAGACAGATAAAGAGCTTCCCAGACAAGAGAAAGCCAAAGGAGTTCCTGGCAACCAAATCAGTATTACAAGAAATGTTAGAAGGGCTTCTGTAAGACAAAAACAAACAAACAAACAAATAAATATTTTAAAACATAAAAAATATGAACATTAAAATGGCAACAACTACATATCTATCAACAATTACTTTAAATGTATATGGATTAAATGCTCTAATCAAAAGATATGGCAGCTGAATGGATAAGAAAACAAGACCCTTACATACACTGCATACAAGAGACTACTTCAGATTGGATGAAAGACAGAGACTAAAAGTAAAGGATGGAAAAAGATAGTTCATGAAAATGAAAAAAAGAAAAAAAGCTGGAGTAGCAATACTTATACCAGACAAAATAGACTTTAAAACAAAGGCTATAACAAGAGACAAAGAAGGACCCAGTATTCCCACTTCAGGGTATTTATCCAAAAAAACCCAAAACGCTACTTTGAGGTAATGAATCCATCCACATGTTCATTGCAGCATTATTTGCAACAGCCAGGATATGGAGGCAACCTGGGTGTCCCTGAATGGATGAATGGAAGGAGAATAGGTGGCACATATATACAATGGAATATTACCCAGCCATAAAACAAGAATGAAATCATGTCATGTGCAACAACATGGATGGACCTAGAGGACATTGTGCTGAGTGTAGTTAAGCCGGGCAGAGAAAGACAAGTGTCATATGATTTCACTTATAAGTGGAATCTAAAGTACAAAATAAACAAACAAAACAGAAAAAAAGATGCCCTGATTAAATTTTCTAAATCTTTTTAAATAAGCAATTTGTTTGACATTTTACAGTAAACTAACCTCATTAGACTAATGGAATTCTAATGCCAGACTCTCATTATAAAATTATTATTTTATATTTTTTATACAATAGACATTGTCTTTTTGCAACAATATTCTATTAATCACATCTGCTATTTTGGCACCCATGGAAAGGCAAACAAAGACTACTCAGAGTGTATCTATGCAGAGAAGCTAAATAAAATATCTGTAAAAAATTAATAAACAGAAACCTCACTGAAAGTGAAACAGCGAGGCCAGAAGGGGGAACCCTCATGCACTGCATCAATCACAATGCGCAAAAGGGGAAGCTCCTTTGTAATAGCCCTTCCAGACTTCCCATTCCTCTCTATAAAGAGCTTCCTTTTCTCTATTTTAGTGGACTTACAGGCGGCTCACCAAGGTTGCATGTACCAGGTTGCAACTCCTTATTCCTGAATAAACACATTTTGCTGGAGAAATATCTGGCTGGCATTTTGTTTATGATCAGCATGTTTGGCGGCCCTTACAGGAATCCACAGAAGACCCCTGATCTCTCTGAGGCTGGTGAGCAAACAGATGAGGCACCCACAGAGCCCACTGAGCTCCTGTTTCTCTGGCTGACCCTAGAGTTTGGGGGTAAGTATCCTCCTAGATCTGACCTTCTACCCTATTTGCATTTTGAAGCTCTCCAGGCTCTATTCAGGATCTGTTCAGAGTCTTCGCACTTTTCTGTTAAGGGCCCTGTTTGTCTTCAAGTACTTATTTTTGGCACCTCGGCTTGACTCCTTCCAGATTAAGCTGTTTCTTGAAACTGTTCATCTTCAGCCCAATTCCCTTTGGAACCAGGCTGTTTCTACTGAAACTGGTTGGCCTTCTGTCCAATTCTAGACCAGATCGTCTCATTGAAACTCCCCAAAGTGCTTATTTCTGAAGTTCCTTCTATAGTGTGGTTTAAGATTTACAAATTGAAAACATTAGTTCCTACAAAATACAGGTTATATTTTACAATTTTAAATAAGGAGTGTTATCTCTAGGGCTCTGAAGCTCCTATTCTATTTCAAAATAATGCCTTTTAGTGCTTTCTACTTATAACTTGATAATTATTCAGTAAGCGAACATCACATAGAATAATTATAAATTGTACCTAGAAAATTTGTAGAATATTTTCTCGTGTGTCTGAAAACATTGATTCCCATCAATACTGTGCAAAGATCTGTTTTGACAAGAATGATTTTGAAATTTTTTTCTTCAAATTTTTAAGTAAAATATAAGTGACTCATAGCAAATGACATAAGAATCATGCGTGTCATGAGTAAGAACTGATGACACTTTAGGAAATGTCATTAATATTTAAATTTAGAGAGAATGTTAAAATTAAAAATATTGGAACATTACATTATTGCTATAAATAAGTAAACAGATTTCTTTTTCCTTTTTTCAAAAAGTAATACAGAAAAACGTTAGGAGAAACCACTTGTTATTTCTCTTACTGACAGAAGAAGAATGTAGCAGACTCCAAACATTTGTTTCCATTTTGACAGCCCCTGGAATATATTTTGCTAATCAAGACTTCACCTTTACTTAGAAACCATGGGCAAGTGGACAACTTGAAATCCTTCACAGCTTCCTAATAAAAATATGGCAGAAAAGAATTAATTTAGCTCTATTGTTGAAAGATGAATTTGCTGTATATTAGTGCTGCTGGGTATTTTTGGTTCAGCAGCATCATGGAAATGCAAATCTTCAATTTATTCAGTGTGTTTAGGTTTAATTAGGTTAGTTTTCATGTTCCTCCAAAATAGCCTATTTATGAACCTATTTAAATTTGGTTGTGGTAATAAAGCAAAATAATTACACTACTTTGGAAAAATAACAAGTAACCTGATGGTAAAACAGTTAACTCTATGGCTAGAAGTTGGTTACAAGAAATGGAATAAATTCAAATTAAAGATAATTGCTCACCTCACAATTCATTTTTTAAAAACAAGTTTGAAATATCTACTTATAGTTCATTTTATGGAAGAGAGTTTCCTCTGCTCTAAATGATAACAAAAAATAAGTAGTTATAATACGTTTAAATTTAAAAATATGACCTCAGACTAATAGGTATGGGGAGGGCAAAACAGAGATAATCTTGCAGCATGTGTGCGCACTCATCACACACACACACACACACACACACACACACACACACACACACAACATGTTTTTCAAGAATCCAAGTATTATATATCAATATCTCTTATTTTCCTTCTGGAGTAATTTATTTAATTACCCTTAAAAATTTGACATATTAAAAGTCACATTAACAAATAATGGTAATCATAAACTTCAAATTGAGACTATTCTTTAGCTAGATATTATTTTCTATATTGTTTAAAATAATATTAATTTAAAATAAATATAAACATAAACTAATTCTTAAAAATGTAAATAAATGCAATGATTCAAAAGAAAGTAAGGTAAACTAAAAAAATGTGCATGTTTAATTGCATATTTAATCTCAAATATTTAGGTGATTTTATTTTTAAATCTCTCTTTTTAAATATTTTGTGATGCTGATGTTTTATGAATAAATCATATCTGCATTTGCTCACTCATGCATTAATATTAACATTAACAAAAAATACTAGGATACTTCACACCAATAATTTCAAGATAGTTACTGATGAGTCGATCTGATAGTCCTTTTGGAAAATATTTCTTTCTTATACACACTTTAAATATAGATAAACAAGATCCAAATCACCTTATACACATAGTGATGTGAATTATCATTTTAACATTCCATTTAATTAAATTACAAAGGCAGTTAAATGTCCACAATGTACTAAACATTGTGCTAAATACATGAATAGAGCATAGTTTCTGATCATCAAAGCAATGTAGAAATCCATACTTGATGGTGAGGTTGCTCAGATAAACTTATTACACTTGAAAACAACTCAAATCCAGAGGATGAGCCATTGCATTTTCTGTTACCCTCAGGTGAACCAACAAAAGGTTTATTTTCTAAGAGAGAGTCAAATCAATTATCAAACTAGGAAAATAGCATAATATGAAGTTTACATACCTAAAGTCATTTGTTAATGTGAAAAGAGGGCTTTCCATTGACATTCTAACATACTGAGAAAGGTCTTTTTGGTTCTTGTATTTTTTGGATTAAATATCTGGAGACCACAGAGTGAGCACTCTCTGGAGGACAATGGATAAATCATCTTTGGATAGTAGAGAAGCGTTGAGATAATCTACTTATGCTATGAAAATCTAAGGCAGTAATCTGGGGTGGAATAGATAAAATGTGACTTAAAATCAATCAATTGATAATAATCTTCAGAAATTTAGAATTTGGTGCATGTATTTTAAAACAGTTGGATTTATTTGGTTTTCAAAATGTATATAAAAATTAGGAAAATGTACAGTGTTGTTATCCATTTGGGAAGGAAAAAATGAGGCTTTAAAAATCCAAGAAAGAAACAACACAGTCTACAGTAAGTTTCACTTAACGTCAAAGATAAGTTCTGTGACTTTAAACAAAACAATGTATGATGAAACCAATTTTACCATAGACTAATTGATACATATAGGAGTTAATTTCCTATAGCACTTCATCAATTGTATGATGAAACAATATTGAACGAAACTATGTTATTCAAGGACCGGCTGTATCTGAAAGTTTCCCATAAAAGTTATAGCTTCATTTTATTAAAGAAACCATATGCAAATGGTCAAAAATATCACCCAATCTTAATGTAGGGACACACATCTTTGGTATTTAAAATGTCTAATTTTATAATTCCTTATCTATAATCAAGCAAGGAATTATTATTTTTTTAATTTCCAGAGGATACATTATGGGTTCCTGGAATCGGATGAGTACTGTGAAGAAGAGTTAGAAAAACAGGATGCGATTTCATTTAGGTGAATAAAAGAAAATCAACCCAGTTTACTTGCCATGTTTGAATGCTATCTTATGTTTAAAAATTCAGGTGAGTCAGTAAAATATTGCCCTTTAAATTTACTTTAAAATTTATATACTCACAATATATACAAATATCAAATAATTATGCTGTACACCTGTAACTAATATAATGCTACAAAAAATATTTAGGCACAAATCGGATCAAAGGATCCAAGATAATTCTCTTTCTGATATAATTATTTGATTATTAAAAGTTACAAAAATTCAAGTTGTTAATGCTGAAGGGGAGCAGAATTTTTCGCCTCAAAATGTGCCACTTTGGCATGTAAATTACTTTGAGATGAAGGAAATCAAGACTTTAAAAAATTTACATAGGGTGCCTGGCCCAGACAGAGAGTTATTACCAGAGATAAATTTTTATCTGAATGACCTATCTGTGTAACAGGGCAAACATCTGGTAACCAAGCATCTACTCTTATCATCCTTTGCATTACCCTTCTCTCCCCCTGCTCCCCCCCCCCTCCTTTGATGCTCAAGGCCCTTATCCCATTCTTTTGCTCAGGATGGCATATAAGGCTCACTCACCTGCTGCCTTTGGATGTCATATTTTTATGGGGTCCCCATATAGACAAAATTAAATTTGTTTTTCTCCTATTAATCTGTCTTATGTCAGTTTAATTATTAGACCAGTCAAAGAACCTAGAAGGACAGAAGGTAAATTTTTCCTCTCCTACAATGCCTCATTCAAAAAAGGCTACTTCATAATTTCTCTCAGGGATTTTAAGGTTCAAAAGCATTCATTGAAAAGGAATATTCTGACCTTTTCTTACTTTGAAATCTAATACAGTCCTAAAACATATTAATCTCCGTTAACAATGCATAAATATAGGATTATGTTAAAAATCTGAAATCCATCTGAGTGATTTATACTAACTTGAATGAGATGATAGTGGAAAACGTGATTGAATTTGGAGGTGGTAAATCAAAACAGCAAGTACTTTAGCCACCAAAATCTGCATTAAGCCTCACCGAAGTAGTGAAAAAAAAAGAATTTGACACCCTAAATTATGTCTGTTTGGCATAAGGATTCTAGGCTCATTATTTCCATTAAAGAGCAGACATAGGAAAAACTCTGAAAACTGAGTAGAAATCACCCATTTGTAAGAGACATTTACATTGATAAGGGAAATCACCACTTGTAAGGGTGTCTCCTTCTCTGTACCAAGAACAAAGCACAGCTAAGTCTGTAGAAACTCTTGTCAATGGAGAAGGCACAGACTTAAATCTGCATAACAACCTACGCTTGTTCGTTGTGCTTTGCCTGAAATCCTGGCTCTCCTTCACCCATCATCATTTTGGTTTAGTTGGAGATAATATTTACGGGTATGGTTCGGGACATGTAGGGGATTTACAGTTTTCCTGAGTGTCTCCCATGTGTATAGTAGTTATACATGTTATTAACCTTCTGTTTGTTTTTCCCCCCCTGTTAATCTCTTATTACAGCGGGGTGGTCTTTGGAAAAAACCTAGAAGAGTAAAGGGGAAATTATATTTCTTCCCCCACAGTAACATGAAGTTTGCATAGTTTAAACCAGAATTTCTCAGTCTTTGGTCTGGGGATAGTGAGGGAAGTGGTGGTGGTGAGAAAGTTGAATTAAATATTCTAATTACCTACTAAATAAGAATCTCAAGTGTCATAAACTGGATATCTGCAT